AACTATATAGTAATATACATATGAAAAAAGTTAAAAGACAAGGACTAGAATAGAAAAGTATTTGCAACACATCTAAAACATGGTTTATAAGTTTTTTTTTCTTTTTCTTCACTTTTTTTAGGGAAAAAACTTCTACAAACCTTTAATCAATAAATGGATAAAGAATACCAAAAAGTCATTTAAAGCTTTTTTTAAAAAAACAATAGAAATAGGCAAGAAATATACTAAAACAGGTTTAGTTTCAACAAATAGTAAAGGAACAATTAAAATACCATTGTCACAATCAGATTAATGAGTATTAAAAATATTGGTAATATCAAGTATTGGCAACTCTGAAAGGAACTCGGTATTCATAGAAACTTTTTCTTCATTTTAAAGCAGTCCCTTTAGCATATTTTGCAGTGCTGGTTTGGTGGAGGTGTATTCTTTTAGCCTTTTTTTGTCTGGGAAACTCCTTATTTCTCCTTCTATTTTAATTGAGAGCCTTACTAGGTAGAGCAGTCTTGGTTGCAGCCCTTTGCTTTTCATGACTTGTAATATTTCTTGCCACTCCCTTCTGGCTTGCAGTGTTTCTGTTGAGAAGTCAGCTGCCAGCTGTATCGAGGCTCCCTTGTATGTTACTACCTCTTTCTCCCTTGCTTGCTTTAGGGTTCTGTTTGTCTTTGATATTTGCCATTTTAATGATGTTGTGTCTTGCAGTGCGCCTCATTGTGTTCCTCTTGAATGGGATCCTCTGTGCTTCCTGGACTTCTGAGACTTTTTCTCTCCTCCAATCAGGAAAGTTTTCCATCATGACTTTTTCAAACAGGTTCTCTATCCCTTCCTCATCCTCTTCTCCTTTTGGTATCCCTATTATCCGGATATTATGACATTTCAGGTTGTCCTGCATTTCCCTAAATGCCTCTTCATTCTTTTTGCGTCTCTTTTCATTTTCTTGCTCTTTCTGGGAGCTTTTTTCTACCTTGTCCTCCAGCTCGCTGATTCTGTCCTCAGCTTCATCTAGCCTGCTTTGGATTCCTTCTACTGTGTTCTTCAATTCAGAAATTGTATTCTTCATTTCCTCTTGCCTCTTACTGATAGTTTCTATATCCTTTTTCATGCTGATATCGTTTGCAGTAAGTTCCTTGTTAGTTTCCCTGTAGTTTTTTATAATTCTTTCTGAGCTCATTGAGCTTCCTTAGAACTGTTGTTTTGAACTCAATATCTGATAGTTTACTTGCCTCTATTTCATTTAGTTCTCTTCCTGGGGATTCCTCCTTTCCCTTCAAGGGGGGCATATTTCTTTGTTTTTCCATTAATTGTGAGACTCCTCTCTCTTGCTTCTTTGCTTCTGCTTCTTAAATCAGTCTGTCTTGATTTCCTGGCTTTGTGGTGTGAACTTCTATGGTTGGAGACCACTGTTTTTACTTTCTGGATCTGCCTCTGATAATGTCAGATGTCTTCCCTGTCTGACCTTAGGCAGTCTACTGGAGACTTCCAGTAATCTACTGTTTGTGGCTTTCTCCTCCAGCTGTTAATCTATTCACTCTGCACTCAGCAGGGCTCCTTAGACAGCTCAGGATAGGGCGGAGTCCCTCCTGGTGGTGGGGTTATTGGGTCCTCTCCCGCTGCTGCCATATGGGGGAGGCGTCAGCACTGGGATCCCGCCAGCTACTCTCTCTGTTCTCTCCCCAAAGCCTCTGTCTCTAGTCTCTCCTCAGGTGTCACCAGACCTCTCTGTGTCCCCTTTAGCCAGCGATTTACTATCTGTGGCTGCCACTCTGCCCTCAGCAGGCCACTTGGACAGCACAGGGCGTGGTGGAATCCCACCTGGGCATGGGGCTATTGCGTCCTTCGACGCTGGTGCTGCTCAGGGGACGTGGTTTCTGCTAGACCAAGATGGCTGCTGCCGCATGGGGGATGAATCAGCACTGAGATCCTGCCAGCTACTCTCTCTGTTCTCTCCCCAAAGCCTCCTTCCTCAGTCTCTCCTCAGGTGTCTCTAGCCCCCTCTGCTCCTGCCTTTGCCAGAGACCAGGGTAAGTGGCTGCAAATAAAAATTTATGCATTGGCCCTTTAAACAGTTTGCGTCTCCAGCTGCCTGTCTCTGTCAGAGAGCAAGCCTGCTGCTTTTCGCAGTTGGCTGTTTTCTGTTAACTTTTTGCGCTCTGGTGCTGTGGGCTAGAGATTACTGCTTTTGGTTTAGACACCACTCTTCTCAGGGGGATCCAGCTGCCGTTTCAGTATCCTTCTGGTGCTGTCGCCTGTGGGTGCCCCGCCCACCTTCTCTAGTCTCTACTGCACTCCTTACCGGTTAGATTGCGTGAAAGCCAGTTCTTCTGTCTCCAAAGTTATAAGGCTCCCGTCTTGCTTTTGTTCAGCTGTTTGTTCCAGGTGATTTCTCCACAATTTAGTTGTAATTCCAGGTTGATTCTGGAAGGAGATCAGTGTGACTTCCACTTTCTCCTCTGCCATCTTGATTCTCCTAAAATGATTATTGACAGATATGTATTTATCACCATATTATTGTTAGACTCTTCTCCTCTGTTTTCTTCTTTCCCCTCTTTTTCCCCTTCCTCATCCTCTTCCTCTTCTTTTCTTCCTTCCTCCTCCTCCTCTTTCTCCCTTCTTCCTCCTTCTCCTCCTCTTCCCCTTCTCCTCCACCTCCTCTTTCTTCTTTTCTTTCTTCTTCACCCTTTAACATTTGTTGCAGTACTGCTTTGGTCTTCACAAATTCTTCTATCTCTTTCTTGCCTGGGGAGCTCCTAATTTCTCCTTTGATTTTTAATGATAGCGTTGCTTGGTAAAGTAGCCTTGGTTGTAGGTCCTTGCTTTTCATCACCTTGAATATTTCATGGCACTCCCTCTGGCTTGAAATGTTTCTGTTGAGTAATCAGGTGACAGTGTAAATGGTGCTCCCTTGTATTTAACAACTTGCTTTTCTCTCATGGCTTTTAGGATTCTCTCTTGTCTTTATCTTTAAGCCTTGTCATTTTGATTATGATGTGTCTAATGTAGGCCTCTTTGGGTCCAACTTGTTTGGGACTCTCTGAATTTTTTGGACTGTGTTGTCTTTTTCCTTCACCAGGTTAGGGAAGTTTTCAGTCATTATTTCTTCAGATAAGTTTTCGATCCCTTGCTTACCCTCTTCTTATTCATCCCCAAGATGCGGATGTTGTTATGCTTCTTGTTGTCCCAAAGGTTTATTAAACTCTTCTCATTTTTTTTAAGTTCTTTTTCCTTTTTTCTCTACCTGGATGGCTATTTTTTTCATCTTGTCTTCCAAATCAGTGATTCTGTCCTCTCTTTCATCTAACCTACTGTTCATTCCTTCCAGTGTATTATGTATTTCAAATATTGCATTCTTTATTTCTGACTCGTCTTTTTTCTTGTTTCTGTGTCTTTTTTCATGCTGTTGAGTATCCTTATAATCATTACTCTGAACTCTATCTTATAAATTGTTTGCCTCCATTTCATCTACCTCTTCTTCCTGAGAATTCTCTTGTTCTTTCATTTGGGGTCTGTTTCTTTGTCTTCCTATTTTGGCTGCTGCTTTGTGTTTTTTTCTATGTATTAGGTAGATCTGCAAAGACTCTGCTGTAGGTCTTTGTCAGATGCTGCCTGGTCAACCAGTTTGGAGCTTTCAGTCATCCATATGTGGCTCCCTCCACTGGGCCTGGCGTGTGCAGGAAGAACCAGGCTGTACCATTGTTGGCTTTTATCAGCAAAGGGTCCGGGAAGGGTCATTTGAAGTCTCAGAGCTTCCAGAGATCCTCTTTAGTTGTTTAACTGATCAGTGATATTGCCTCCAGCTGTAATCAGCCGTTTAGGCTCCACAGGGTGGGTCAGAGTAATTCCAGGGGCAGGGGCTATTGCTTCCCCTCTGGCTGATGCCATTTGGAGAGGAGTGCTCTGCCTGAGAAAGATGGTTCCTGCAATGCAGGGAATGACTCAGCACAGGGATCCTGGTGGCTGTTCAGTTCTCTCCCCAGAGCCACTGGCCCCAAGCTCTCCTCAAGCACCTCCAGTCCATTCTGCCTTCCCTCTGCTGGAGCCCTGGGTAAGTGGCTGTAAACGAAATTTTGTGCGTTGGCCTTTCAAGAGGCTCTCTGAGTCTCCAGCTGTCTCTCCCTGACAGACAGAAACCCTGCTGCTTTTCACAGCTGGATGTTACCAGGGTTCCTTTCTGGCTCTGGTAATACAGACTGGGGAGCCCAGCTTGGGGTTTAGACCCCCACACTTATCAGGTAGAACCCCCCAGCTGCTGAAATATCCCTCTGGAATTTCAGCTGCTGCCCATGGGAGCCCAGCCAGCCCTCTTGTGTCTCCTCTGCACTCCCTAAGAGTCTTATGGTGAAATGGTTCTGTCTGTCTGTGACTGCTCTCCAGCTGGTGTTCAGTTGATTATTCAGGATGATTTCTTTGCAGTTTAGTTGTAATATGAGATTGGTCCTTGGAGTTGGTTAGTGTAGCTTCCACTTACTCCTCTGCCATCTTGTATTCATGTATTTTATGTTTTAAAAGCTCTTAGGAGAGCCTATTAATATGGTTTGCCTGCTTCTATGCCTTGCTTCTGCTGTTACCTTTAGCTGCATGGGGATATGTTTCTTGTTGTGCATCGTTCCTGGTTTCTCTTAGAACCCTCCACAGCTTTTCATCTTGAAGTCTGTTCTACCATGCACTTGGAGCCAATTACTAAAGCATCTAAAAAGTATTGTGGTATAGTGTCTGTACTCATTGATAAGACAGCAGCCTTGAAAATTATTGCTCTGTGCCATTTAAGTTCTTCTTTGTTGCCTTATATGGAATACAGTCTGCAATAGTGTTAATTTCCAACTTTAACCTAATGAATTATATATAACTTGTAAATATTCTTTTGATAAAGATTATGTGATATTGGGCACATAATAACTGTATAATTTGCTCAATATTGATTGGGAATTTATTTAAACTCACTGATAAAATGAAGAACAATTTTTATGATTTAATGTCTCTTGCTTTTTTCTCCCTCCATAAAACAGGAAATGGAACAGACAAGAAGTGCTGTGGATGAAGACCGGAAAATGTATCTCCAAGCTGCTATAGTTCGTATCATGAAAGCACGAAAAGTACTTCGGCATAATGCCCTTATTCAAGAGGTAAAAGAGGGAAAAGTCCTTAAAAGTCCTTGGGGTTGAGGGTATTACAAATGTATAGATTAGAAATGTTTCTTTGTTTCTTTGTAAAGATGATACAGGAATAATATGATTTGCAAGTACCGTAAAGATACGCTTCATTATTTAATGGGAACAGTACTCACTTATAATTTCAGTTATTAAGTTATTAAGCTCAGATTTGCTTTGGCTTGAGTTTAGAGGTATAAATTTCACCAATTTATTGAGTCTTTTCTCTAGTTATTGAAGAAACTTGACCACATCAAATATTCATTCCATAAATATATTAATGTCTATGATGTGATAGTACTGTGCTTGTCATTGAGGGTTTAATGCACAGCAAAGCAAGATGTGGTTCCTGCCCTTTTGGAGTTTACAGTCAAATAGGGAAGAAATACATTTTTGAAATAATGTACAAGTATATATAAAATTATAGTACCATGCACTGTGAAAAGATACACAGTGCTGTGAGAATGTACTTAAAAGTCTTGACTTAGGGGATATTGGGAAAAGCTTTCTTGAGAAAGGGGTACTTAAACTAAGCTGAAAGTTGAGTAGTGGTTAAATGGAAGCTTGAGAGTGTGGTTATTTAGATAGATTAATTAGTTTGTAGTTTAAGTTGTTACATCTGTGAACATTAGATCTTGCTATATATGTGTTCTGCATTGTAATTCCTTCGCAACGTAAACATTAGGCTTTTTCCTGACTTTGCATAAAAAATTATTTTTGGTCATTATATCAAAATTGATCCCTCTCTTCTTATGCACTGCTGAGTTTAAAATTTTTAGTATTGTTACAGCACTCACTCACTTGCTATATCATGTGTATTCATTTAGGATGAATTTTTTCGGCTTACTATAATTCCGTAATTTTGAGTATATTTTCCTATATGGCTTAGATATGCTTGATGAAATCTCAATAAATATGAGACACTTTTATAGCTGGTTGGTTAAAAGTAATTATTTATAACTGATTAATTGGCAGTGGTTTGACACCCATGTCTCTCTTACAGGTGATTAGCCAGTCAAGAGCTAGGTTCAACCCTAGTATCAGCATGATTAAGAAGTGTATTGAAGTGCTGATAGACAAACAGTACATTGAACGCAGCCAGGCTTCAGCAGATGAATACAGTTACGTAGCGTGATATTGCCATCCTCCTGTGAGGGTGTGAGAAGATCGTTGCCATCACCATTTGGTGTGTTCCTGTGGGAAAAAAAGCAGGCCTATGCCTCCATAATTTGGTCATTCGGCAGCCCCTGTTTTCCTGCTGTTTACAACATCACCAGTGCCACGTCATGAGCATCAGAGAAAATGCCTAGAGATATTTCAAGCTCATGTCATTATGACATTTCTTAAAACTTTATTAAAGAATGAGTGAAGTATTGCTGAAATGTGGAAATTTGGTTGGATACCATGCTTTTTCTCCCCTTCACGTTTGCAGTTGATGTGTTTTTTTTTTAATGTATCTTAAAGGACATAAAATAAAAAAACTTAAATATTGTAATATGACAGATAACCTAATAATTGTATCTACATTAAATGACAAACATGATATTGCTGCTTGTCGAATAAAAAAATAAAGAAATAGAATGCCTTTTTTATGTGGATGGAGTATCACACTAAATAATATATATATATAAATGTTCATGAGTCATCGAAGCAGTGAATGCTGCTTTAGTTGCATTTTTATCTGAATGGTTTAATTCACTTGTACTCCTACTTAAATCCTGCTGAAAAATGTCAATTATTGTTCTTGAGTGCATAAAAATGCATTCAGCGTAAAGAATCTTTTCTTTTTAAGGATTGGGACTACATTGTATATAAGCATTTTGAATATTGAGGATTTAATCCCTTTGAGTTTCTGGTGAGACGGAGTATGAGGGAATATGCAGTGACTTCCAGTCTGGCATAAGAAAGAGGTTTTCATCCCAAAATCATCCTTTGTTTTCATAATGAATTAATTCTAACATAGACTAATGCCTCAGCTCTGTCACCTTCCCCTCTACCTTTCTCTGAGTTGTAGGAGATCCTGTGACACCAATCTGTTCCTTCCATACTCCTACCTACCTAAGACCCTTATACCCCTCTGACATTTTCATGCTAGATTCACGCATAAGTCATAGCTATGCCTAGGAATGCGTAATCTAAACAACTTTAGAAAAATCCATATATTGCATTATAACAGGTGCCACTTGAATAGACATGAAATCCCATTATTTTATTATATATATCAACAGCCAGTATTGGAATATTTTGGTCTGTTTTCATATTTATTATCTGTTTATACTATCTTCCCCACCATCACAACACACACATACACAAAATTTTTTTAAGCTAGAATCTTTTAAAGCATATTCCACGTGAATCACTTACAATACTTTAGTGTATATCTCTTAACAGATAAGCCTTTAAAGAAATAATAAAAAAAAATGGCTTTTACAGTTGGTTGGTTTGAACTTTTTCTAACTCATGTCTCTTAAGTGTTTAAAAATCTCTTGAGCTTATAATGATTTATATACTGTATATTTCATTGTACCTTCCTTCCTAGAGAGGAAATAATGGCAAACCATGTAATATTGTACATTTCATTGTCAAAAAGCAAACCTTGTTTTAATAACTTGATAAAGTTTTCCAAATTGGTTCTTTTTTTTTCTTAAATATTTATAAATATTAAGTCTTATCCTGGTATCAAGAAAATAAAGGGTGGGGCAAAACTAAGATTACAGTTGTTTGTATGGTAAAGAATGCAATAATAAATAAAAAATAATAAATTGTTTTGTGCACTCACAACTGTACACCTACTTTTGCCCCACCCTATATATTATATTGGAAAATGGGCAAAGTACTTGTGCTGAAGTCGATAGAAATGACTGACAAGAATTTTCCTCACATCTTTTCCCCATTTCATCTGAAAGGAAATATATTGAAGATGTGCTTGTGCGTGTACAAGTAAAGAAGAGGCCAGACCAATTTCAGCAAGCCACCAGCCCAAAAAGGAGCAGTGATTAGAATGAATTTTAGGCCACACCTTCCCCTGAGGAGAGCAAGGGAAGGGTTCCAATCTGAAATTCTTACCTCAGGAGATCTGAGCACACAGCCCACTAGGTTGTATGCCTTGTGCTTAGGGTCAGAGCTTGAAGAGGAAGGGGAGAAGAGAGTTCTCTAGTTTATCTCAGAAAAAAATGATGTGAGTAAAACTTTCAGAAGTTTTAACAAATACACTAACACTGAGATAGTTAATGTGTGTCTGTGATGCATTTTATAGCCAGTGCAGCTCTTATCAGCAATCCAGCCTTTACCTTTGAAACCAGGAATGTTACCTGTTACTGTAGGACAGATTTATTCTAGGGTTTAGTCCAATATTTTATGAGTTTGCTTTAATACAAATAAAATAATAGTCTGGGATTTGTATTTTACTTTATGTATAATTTAGTGTATCTACAGGATTTTGTAACCTATAAAATTATAGCACTGCAGTCTGCAGTGCTATAAAATTCCTTTTAATTTTTAACCTTTACTAAGTGCAGACTGTGACAGGTGCTTTCAGGTTATTTGATCTTTAGATAATCTTGTTAACTAGGCCGTGTTCCTGAAACACATGGGGCCACTTGATAGGCGGGAGCCAAGATAAGACTCCCAAGTTGATTGTGTTAGGAACCTTAGTGCAGGCCAGCAAGCAAGGAGTGCACTAGGGATCATTCCCTTGAACAGTGCCTCCCCAGAACCAAAAATCATGTGGTATCACAGGGCTTCTTGCTACAGACAGAAAATGGTGGTGTACTCCACACCTTGGGTGGAGAGTTTAGAATTATAATGAGGGTATAATGACAAAAGTTCATGTCATTCAACAGTCCTGTGATCTGGGGGGGGGTTTTCTTACCTTTACCGTCCAGCCCTGAAGGAAAATATCTTTGGCAAACTTTGTTAGTAATCAGTAACCAATTTCAGCAAATGTTTAGGTCATTACACAGGTTTTCTCCTAGTTCTTAAAACCCTTCTGTACCAGATTGGGAGGCTATGCTCTATTTCACAGATGAGGAAACTAATGAGAATTTTCTAAGAATCTTTACCAAAAACTGCAAATTCTGAATTTAATCCCAGTCAAAGCTGTGCTAATTAATAGTCTATATATAGTGCAGCTTGTAAGATAGATGGAAATAACTTCATTTTATATGTTAAGAATAGTTTTTGCTGAAAAAGGAAAAAACTTTCTAGTTAAATAATTTGTGGTAATAAATATTCTTTGTTCTTTAAGATACCTATTTAAGATGTAAACGAACATGGTTAAGTGACTTGGCTCACAGCTGATTTATGGCAAAGGGTACTTGTGAACATAATAGTTTACATGTACAACTATAGAAGTTATTTCCAGTATATATACTTAATGCAAACCTGTTTTTAGTTAAAGTTTTTTGAGCTGTATAGTAGTAATGGATCATTTATTGACTTCTTAATTTTTGATTCCTAGGACAAATTCTTGATTGAGCAAGGTCAAAGTAAATATGTGCACTTTGGAAATACTAGTCCTGCCCTGGCCGAGTGTCTTGGTTGGAGTGTCATCCCATACACCAAAAGGTTGCGGGTTCAAGCCTCTGTCAGGGCGCATACAGGAGGCAACTAATGGATGTTTCTCTCTCACGTTGATGTTTTTCTCTTCCCCCCTTCTCTAAAATCAATGAGCATATGCTCAATATATATTACATATATAATATATATATTCTGAAATACATATTTCATAAGGGCAGTTGTAACATGAGCCTTAGCTAAGTGAGTGGAAGTTAACATGGAGAAGCTAACTGGTTGAAGATTGATGTGATCATGAAGCATTTCTAAGGCTGAACCAATTAGGCAATCCTTATATGAAACAATGCATAGTCTTGAATTCATTAAAGGTAGGATTCACTGATGGGGAGAAGTAATTTTCATATGCAGTGACTGCACTACCTAGGTAATTGTAAGGTTTTTCCTTCTCTAGCCCTCCATCTGTAAGTCACGCAATTCACCTTTCTTTTGTCCTCTAGCATACATATACTGGTGCCTGGATTTGTGGGAATAGTTACTGCAATAGTTAGCCTAAAAGGTAAAGTCTGTGCTCCTCATGGAGTTTTTAGATTTGTTGCAGTCACAAATGTGTCATTGCAAGTGTCATCACTTGTGAAGGGACATCCTGAGTACTCTGAAGATGGTTGCATAAGAGATAGGGGCAGAAAATGAAGGTAGGAGAGCATATTTTAAACAGGAGTGACAGCAAAGATCTCAGTTAAGAAATGGCAGCCAGAACCTAAGAATCAGAACTGCATGACTGAATTACATGGATTACAGGCAGGGGAGTTACATTTGCATGAAAAAAAAATAAGTTTTCTTGTGTGGGGGGGTGAATGAATATTCCTTTTATTATGCTTTATAGTGTGCATATTTATTTTTCCTTTAGTGTTTGTGAACTATTTTATAATAATATTTACAAGTTTTAGTGGAAAATAGATAAACCTGCATTAGGGTGAAGAATGGAACTCTAGAGGCTAATTATGTAAAGGGTTAGACCTCGGAGAAGTCAAGCAGTTTACATGACTGGCAGTGGAGATCTCTAGAAGGATAAAGTAGATAAAATTGGCACATCTTAATAATGTTATGGAATAAATTGGATAAGTGAGTGAGGGGAACCCTGGGACAGGATGAAGATGGAAAAGGCACATATGGTCTTGTCTGTAGACATGTTGAGCATTTGATATGCTTTTGAGATGCTGAATGGAGCAGACAGATCTAATCTTTACTGCCTGGGAGCTCTGATCTGAATCTTACAAACCAAATCATAGATGCTTTTATTTTTTATTTTATACTTATATTTTGATTGCTATTACAGTTGTCCCACTTTTTTCTCCCCTTTATCCTCCTCCACCCTGCACCCCCTCCAACCAGCATTCACCCCCTTAGTTCATGTCCATGGATTGTACGTATAAGTTCTTTGACTTCTCCATTTCCTATGCTACTCTAACCTCCCTCAGTCTATTTTGTGCCTACCAATTATGCTTCTTAGTACCTGTACCTTTTTCCCCATTCACCCCCCTCTCCCTCCCCACTGATAACCCTCAATGAGATCTCCATTTCTGTTCTAGTTGTTTGCTTAGGTGGTTTTTGTTTTTTAGGTTCAGTTCATAGCTGTGAGTTTGTTGTCATTTTACTGTTCATGGTTTTAATCTTTTTCTTAGATAAGTCCCTTTAACACTTCATATAATAAGGGCTTGGTGATGAACTCGTTTAACTTCACCTTATCTGCCCTTTCATTCTGAATGACAGCTTTCCTGGATAGAGTCATTTTGGATGTAAGTCCTTGCCTTTCATGACTTTGAATACTACCTTCCAGCCCCTTCTTGCCTGTAAGGTTTCCTTTGAGAAATCAGCTGATAGTCATATGGGAACTTCTTTGTAGGGAACTGTCTCCTTTTCTCTTGCTGCTTTTAAGACCCTCTCCTTATATTTAATTTTGGGTAATTTAAATATGAGGTGTCTTGGTGCGTTCATTCTAGGGTCCAGTTTCTTTGTGGGACTTTGAACTTCCTGGAAGTCTATTTCCTTCACCAGATTGGGGAAGT